ATAAACATACAGTAATTTTATAATGAATATATTATTCATCTTTCAAGATAAGAGGGATTTATCTGTAAGGCGCAGATAGGCTTTGTGGCTCAGATTGCCTAAACTGGGAATTTTTGCTTCTTCCTTCAAGGAAAGTGAAATCATTTTGAATATGTGAGATATGCATGTGCAGACACAGGCACACTCTCCTATAAACACAGGCATACAGGAAGGTTCCTTCTTCACTGTCCTCTTCATTTTTAAACAAAGATATTACAAATTCAAAACAACCAAAGACACGCAATGTCATCTGACCTAATGAATGAGGCGAGTGGCACATACTGAAGATGTTATATATTTGTCTCTCCTTTTATGGTCTGAGAATGTTTACAGCATTAAATGGAGGGCCACAGACAGTGTGGCACACTGTAGTTTCAGTAATGATGAGTTAACACTCTGTCATCTTGCTCCAGGACCCAACTAAAAGCATTTTTATAAGCATTACCTCATTTGTGTCAGATGCATGGCAAGTGTTGACAGGTTTATAGTTTTCTCCAAATATGTTCATCTATATTCAAATTCCTTTATAGTGTGTGTGTGCTACATGCAGTGTTAAGATTTTAATATTAGAGGGTAGTTCACCCAAAAATGAAATTTCTGTTATAATATAATCACTCTCATGTCGTCTGTTTTCGTTCGTTTGTTGTTGTTTTTTTGGTCCATGCATTGAATGTGTGTGTTATTTTTGACCCCATTGACTTTCAATGTAGGCTACAGACAACAACAAATAAAATTAAAATATCTTCGTTTGTCTTCTACAAAAAGATGTGAAGTTAAAGTAAATGATGACATAATTAAAAATGTTTGGTGAACTATTCCTTTAACATGTAATGTGACTCGTGGCGGTTGTCGATAGTTTTTTACTATCATACACTGTAAAAATGATTTTGTAAAAAAAAAAAAAAAAGATACAACAAAGATCACTGGAGTAAGTTAAAACAGATCATTGTAGCATGGTATACAAGAAAATACTATTTCAGCTTACGGTTACATTTACTTGCAATTTCTGATTGAAAATGATTTCTACACCAATTTTATTTTATTTTTTTCAGTTAAAAAAAATCATTGTATTTTTTGTTAAAATGAATGTTGAAAAGTGCTTCTTCCTCTGATTCTATTTCTCTCTGCCAAGTTCTCACACTGGGAAGTGACCAGGGACCGGATCCAACTGCCCCTCATTTTCATCACTTGTCAAATGGCACGTATCTCCTCTCGAGCCACACAGGCTTTTCTCGGTGGCACGTCCCCTGGCCAGTGAAAAAAAAAAAACCCTGCGTACACTATCAATCGCTGAGGAGACAGTCTGAGGCAATGGAAACATGCGCTCCACAATCTTCCCTTCTGGCCCGCGGTGCCAATTTTATGCCAATTTATCACAGAGAATGGGAGCTTGTCCTTTAGTCTGCCCACAGAAGTGAGCTAGATGGACCTCATACAGTAAAGCTTTGGAAAGTCAGAGATGACCAGAAGCACAAATGCAAAGTCCTAATCACTTGCACAATTATGGGGCCTAATCGGACGCTTCTCGTCAAAAGCTTTACTGATTGCGGTACTTCTCTTCACTTTGATGTGGTCAGTGGTTCAGTTTTATGAGAACTGACATATTTACAGCTGTAGAAACAATGTGAAGAGAGCTGGAGGGGGTGCACACTGCATACTAAAGCTTGGATAATCTCTTAAAATAATCATAAAAAAGACCATAAATTAAGCTAGCTTGTAGCGCTGAAACCCTAATTGTTCAAATTTCCATAGATCAGCATTCTCCCCTAAAAGTGATTGGGCAGACCAAACTGTAAGTCGTATAGACTTGAGACTTTGAGGGCTGGTCGTACTCAGACTGTCTACAATGTCACCAAGGCTCGCCCCGATCGGCCTGACGGGGGCGCTACAGCGGTGAGAAGTATGAAACTCATAGGCATAGGCTCAAGTGTCTTATATCTTTGGAATCCTTGGCTCAAGATGAACAAAATGCATGCCTCGGATCCGATCGAAATGTTTTAAAATATTTTTCCACCTGAGATTGCCACCACTAACCTCCGACCAGATATTGTTTTGTGGTCTGGATCAGCACGCATTGTTCAACTGATAGCAGAGTTAACAGTGCCATGGGAGGATGCGGTAGATGAGGCATATGAGAGGAAGAAACTGCGGTATGCTCATCTGGCCACTGAAGCAGAACAGCGAGGATGGAGAGTCCAGGTTTATCCAGTGGAAGTGGGTTGTCGAGGATTTGTGGCACACTCCACAACCCGGTTCCTCAGAGACGTCAGATTCAGTGGCCAAGAGTTGCGTCGCACAGTAAAGAACTTATCTGAAGCAGCAGAGAGGAGCAGCAACTGGCTGTGGTTGAGACGGAAATATTCTGGCTGGCTGTGTACAGGCTGCCATGCTACGGTTTCATAGAATTCTTGAAAAATTCGAAGTGTCTGTTGGTTTATTTGTATAGTTTGCATAGTAATTACAGTTATTATGTTCCTGTGTATATTGCGTGAATGAGGGTTGGTGTTTGGGCAGATATCGTGTTTTGCGGTAGGTAGTATGCCATACGGAACCGTTTCCACTGAACCTACTTTAACGAAGACAGTGGGGCTCGACAGCCTTAGTCAAACGGGTTGGCGCGTATGGTTGGGTTGCGGAGAGATTGTGAGATTGTGGTTAGGTCACATGTGAACTACGAGGAAGGAACAACCTCAGCAGCAGGAGGGATGTAAAGGTCAGTAAGCTGGGCTGAGTTGAGTGGGGGACGGAGGGGGGTGATTCTGGGACGCCAGAGTCACTGTCGAGCCCTCTTGAGGTGTCGTGGGCTAGTCGACGAAACACTGAGGACAGAAGGTGCCCACTTGAAGACCCTAGAGATGTCCCCTACTCGGCTCAATCCAGACAGTTGTCGTGCTGGTCCACTGGGGAGACCGCACTGTAGTTGCAGCCGTTGTGTGTGCTGACGCGCCAAGTACACTGCAGCCGTTAACGCCGGACAGAAGGAGATTCACATCACCATATGGAAGGAAGTGTAAATACATGGAGAAGCATAAGTTACTGTAAAGCTACGTCTTAGTTTGTGCTTATCTTGGCGAAAGCCGAGTACAAATCAGTATGAAGTTTTGGTAACGCTTCCTTTTACAGTCCTGTTACCCATGTACTTATTATAGTAGTTATAATTACTGGGTAATAACTAGGTACTAACCCTGAACCTACCCCTAAACCTACCCCTAACCCATGTACTTACCTTAAATTAGCCAGTACTTTCTACTGTAAGTACACGTAAGTACTGTACTGTAAAATGAAGCGTTACCGAAGTTTTAACATCTACTCTCGTGTAATGGAAATCTTGGAATTTTGTGAACTAGTCCTAGGTTTTTGGCCTGATCGGAACCAAACCAGTGCAGCAAGATTCTCTGGAGTCTGATTGTCAATAATTATCAAACCAAGTAGAAATTTCTTTCATACATGTCATGGCGCTGCTCTGCTAATAGGGCAGAGACCGTCAGCAGTCGTGACGTCACATTGCTAGAATCTACAAACGGCTTGTTCTGAGACACTGCTTATGATTTATGGGGATTAAAAAAGGACTGGGTGGATTTTTACCATTAAAGGATGGTTGTGTGTACACAGTGCCCTTTAAATAAGAAAAAGGAATCACAATTAGTGGTGAAATAAGGGAGCCTGAAACCCTTATTGGTGTTCACTATACAATTTAGTATGTTGATAATGTATTGATAAATATGTTTTACATGTAAAAAAATAGGTATTCTGAGAATAAGAATACCACCTCCAGTTCATAGTGGTTAGGGTTAGTCAGAGCTCCTTATCCTCCCAGCCAGAGTTGTGTTTCCCAAAAGTTCAGTTTAATTGTGTTGGTAATGACAGAAAATGCAACCATAGTTGGCTTTGGGAAATAGACCCCAGCTCAGCAATTTATGACTACATCTCCCTCAACGAGGCTCGTCACCAATAATACAATCAATGTCTTTTGAACGATAATCTTTATTGACCACATCACACAGAACGTTCATGCAGATTTGTGTTCTAACATTGTGAAAGTCAGACCCTTCCTATCTGAGCATGCTGAACAACTCTTGGACTTACTACTGTGATGTATTTAAGCCTTCATCCATTCATTCCCAAACATCTGCAAATTATCCAGAATGCAGTGGTGCTTTGCAATTATTTTCATCCCTGATAATGTCATAGATGTGCCTTCAGCATAGGCTGTTGACTAACAATTATAACATCTGCCATCATAAAGACTAAATTTGTTGCCTTGGAATTTGCTGTGTGCATATTTTTATTTTATATATTTTCACACTACCACTCAGGGTTGTTGGAATTGCAAGTTACGTCTATTTTATTCGTGGAAATTGCTCAGATCGCTAATAAACCTTGTCTAATGATTTATACCAAATAAAATGATTATCTTGTTGCAAAATGTTAATACAAATCTTTTGAAGGAAATTCATTTTTTAAGAATTCACAGAACACAAGGTAAAAATATTAATTTATTGTGATTTATTAATTCATAGTCAAATTTCAAGTATAAAACAAGAAAATGTCAATACTTTTTTAGATTAAACAAGTGTTTAAAAAGTAAAAAAACAGTGTGAGACATTTTGTTAGAAAGAAAGTTGTTTGTTTAGTTAGTATTCTGAGATCTTGAGATGTTACATTATGGAGATTGAGAGAAACAAAGGAAGAAAAATGGCAGACAGTAAACAAACAACACAAGTTAAACCATTTAAACATTGTAAACAACTAGAAATGGGATTCAAGTAAAATCAAGACACAATATGACAGAATAAGCTGATCAGCATTATAGCGGTGCTGAAATCTGAGGTCTAATGTAAACATTTTTTACAATACATACAATGTACATAATATTTAATAAATAGATAAAAAATATAACATTAAATTTGTACAAAACTATTCATCAAAAATAGGAATTAAAAGATATTGTTCTCACAATAAATATCCTATAAATAAATAAATAAATAATTAATACATTTTCTTACAGAATACATCTGTCAGAGCTCAGACGTCCGTTCTTTTAGTAAAACTGTTGGGTTTACGTTTTGATCTGAGTGGGAAGTACTTGCATTAATAGTGGTTGGTACCGAATCTTTTACATTAGGCACATAGAAGGACGCCATAGGGCAGGACCCTTTGACATTATTGCAAACCAAATTCTGCAGAGAGGCAGTGTTTATAATCTCAAAGCCCACTTTGCCACCAAATGTGCTTGGTTTCCAGTACTCAGGGGAACAAATGGGATTTCCCATAAGTCCTTTGAGGGAGTAGGGGGCACCCATCTCCACCATGGTCTCCCCAAAGATGGCATTGAGCCTGGGTTTCTCAACCAGTAGACCAGTATAAAGCTCCACAGCATCCACGTCTCCGTACATCTCTTCAAGTTCAGCAGCCATTTCCTTTTCTCCTAAAACATAAAACAAGTTCAGTCAACTCAAATTGTCAACTGAAATACCACTCATTTTACAATATATGCAGGGTATGCTTATAAAATACAGCTGGGCTTAGGCAAGTTAATATGCAAATTTGTGTGTGTGCGCACTAAATACTGTAATAAATATTGTATTTATATTTATCATTATGTTTTAAAGACTTAAAACAGCTGCCTATGCTGAAGGCAAAATAGCTGCATTAGAAAACATCTATTTTCAGACCTGAGAAATATAAATATATTAACTCTCACCTGTCATGTCTTCAAAGGATTTGAATGGCTTCATGTTGAAACGTTTCCTGTAGGCATTGATAGATTGGTAGCGCATTTGCCTGCTGTCTTCAATTGACTTTATGGCCACCTTTAATACAGCCGGTGGAACATTACGCCCTCCAGCCACCTGGAGTAACAGAGAAGAGTTAAGATTCACCAAATCCTCACCACCAGTGGTAGACTTCTCCAAAATATGGTAAACTAAACGTATTTTTCTTGTCTTACCCTTCCAGCTATCTGATTGGTGAAGGACTCAACCAAGCTGTTGACGCCATGGTCTGTCAGTATAGATGTGTTAAAGAGAAACTGCTTGTAATTGTAGACTTCATCCTGGATGTGAAATTCATCAGGCATAAGGGGGTGCCAGTGGTAAAGGGTGTTGAACTCAGAGGAGATCCTGTTCTGGTACTGGAAACGCTCGTTGAAGAGAAGTTCAGGATCAAACTTGAGCTTAAAATTGTATCCACTAAGGTGCTGGACATAATCTTCAATCACAATTTTGATCGTCTCACCTGTAAAGTCAGAACAAACGTTAAAACCATAGAACCATCTTGTAAATGTGTTTTGAGGTAAATCCATTAACCAATCCTGCAAAATGTCCACTTTAAATATCGACCTGAATCTAAATGTCCTTCTCTACAGGACACTTACCAATAAGGATGAGCCGTGCGGTCTGAAACAGCCTCTCGTCATCCCAGTCAGGATGCTCCTGCTTTAGTATATCACACACTCGGTTGTGTTCACGTAGCCAGATGGTGGCATACATCATGAGTCCAGGAACCAGTCCAAAGGCCTCGTGACCCACGGCAAAACGTCGGGACTCAGGTATATGAGGAGGGTAGTGCATGTCTACTTGAACCTCACTGACTGTCGGAGGATAAACCTCACCATCCAGAATCTGGTTAAAGCAATGACCACGAATATAGTCAAATTTTCAGACGACCAGGCTTGCGATATTAAGTAACAAGACAGGAGAAATGTCAAAATTGCCTAATGGGGAGGGAGGGTGTGGTGACTGAGTTCAGTGACCTGGAGGAGGTTATTTTAGTTAATTCTGGGGTGGAAACATTCCTTACCTTATATCTCAGTTTTCCGTCCTTGAAAAGTCTCAGCTTGTGTTGGCGTTCAAGCTCCTGTCCATATATGTGACCCAAGTCAACCTAAAGACACCAAGCAAAGTCAGTCAGATACCAAAGTGAATGTGAGACGACCATTAATTAGTGCCACTTGAAAAGGTTATACAGTATGTATAAGATACACACCCCATGATTCAGGGCTCTTGTGAAAGCTGGACCTTTCTTCATGTCAGTTTTGAAAAACTGATGAGTAAAATGTTGGGCAAAGAAAGCGAACATAAGACTGGTGCGTTGAGGGTCTGGGATGAACTTCCTCCTGAGAAGCAGTTTCTCAGCCAGCAGCTTCACATCTGGCAGCTCTTTCTTGCCTGCAAAAGACAGAACAACAAATGAGTAAAAGACCTCCACTGTATATTTCTTCATTTTTGAGTGTTATACACCAGCCTAAAAGTGGACTCAGTGACTTTAATTGATGGACAGAAATATATATGCGCTTTTCTCGTCCACACACCCATGCAGGCTTCCTGTCTAACTGTGAAGCTAAAAATGTGAGAAAACAGGTCTGAGGAGAAAGAGACTCACCTGCGACTCCCATTGGTGTTGGGCAATCATTGGCGACAGGAGGCAGTGTACGAGTGTAGTAGGAGAGATTGGAATAGGCTTCCCAGCTTTTGTAACCATAGTCAGCATTGAATGTAGGGGGGCTGTCAATCAAATGGGCACGTGCTGGACCAGGAGGAAATAAACTTTTTAAAGTTAAAGTTTTAATTATAAATAAAAATGATCATTTAAATCATTATCATTTAAATCATTATAATTAAAAACTAATGTATACAAATAAATAAATAAATTATAATTTAAAGTATTTCAATTATATCAAAGATTAAAGTCAAATTGGAGGTTTTATTAAAAAGATTGTTTCAGGCATGAAAAGTGTCAACTTACATGTTAGCACGTATCGCATTATGCCATTTCTCAAAAACGACACTTTGTTGACAATATTCCACAAGCTTTTGAAGTGTGTGAGAATGTAATGCACCGTGTTGGGAGAAGGCTTCAGATAAACTTTAACTAATGTGAGAAACTCGGCTGTAAAAACGAAACCAAAGTAAAAAAGTTAGTTGGGTATTGATAGAGAACAGGAAGCTTATTCATTTAGCCTACAGAAGTCTATGCAGTTTTCACTTACGTGTTGTGCAGTTTTGACCGTAAAATCCAGTGCGTGTACAGTCACATTCATACGAGTCGGAGCTCATTTCAGTACAGACACCGCGATTCTGACATGGCTGAGAGCAACAGGGGTTGGCTGCATCACCAAAAAAATAGATTATTTTAGACGGCTTGACTTATATAGCACATAAGTAAATCATTTTTAAAAAATCATAATTGAATAGAATATCAATAAAAATGTATGAAGAAATGTCTTACCTCCTTGGCAAACCATGAACCCCAGGTGCAAAAGAATAAATAATATCAAACTATTCATTCCAGTGGCGTGTATTGGTAGGCCTATGTCTTGGGTCTTTCCTCTCCAGTTCAGATCAGAGAATGAATTATCTTTCGAGTGAGAGAGGTGTAGTTATATGAGCAGTCAAATGTGACGCAACGAGCTTGACTCATCGTTTAATGCAATACTGAGAATGACATCATGTTGGTAGCCAACCTGCTTATTATTGGATATCATAAACTAATATCCCGAAGGCTCTCGGAGACGATAGCCTAAAAAACCTTATAGCCTAGTTTATTTATGTTTTCCTAATTTATCATTGTTTGTCACTTACCAATAGAAAGCAAAACAAAACTGTTTTAATAGATTGTAGCCTGCCTAATAATAATATGCTAATCATATTTCAAGTTGTTGAAAAATACATTAAAAAAATACATTTCCTTTCAATCTATTTTTGTGGGGCGACATTAAAAACAGGCATGCTTTTATTATTAATTATTGAAAACATTCTACTATTAAATTAGTATAAAATAATCATCGTTAATGCATTAACTATATTTGTAGAAAATGTTTAATAAATATTTCTCAAAAATGTATGAAACCAACATGAATACAAAGAACTGCCATCTTGTGGAAGAAATGAAACATGACTCAACCGCTCAGCAGGTCCGCTAGCTAGAGAAACCTGTTTTCTTCTGCTACCTCTAGATAGTATCACTCTTTCTTACTGATTGTTTTGCACGAATTAACAGTGAGTTTTTTGTATATATATATATATATATATATATATATATATATATATATATATATATATATATATATATATATATATATATATATATATATATATATATATATATATATATATATTTCTGTAGTCTATTCTATATGATCAAGTTACGGGTATTTTGGCAGCAGAATGAAAAGCAGCAGCGGGATAAGAGAGACTGACGAAGATATGATTTTATCATTAGGAAGCCTGTAGTTCCTCCTCCTCTCTTCTTTAAAATCATAGTCTGACTCAAGCGCACTCTCTGCATAGAAGGAAAACGACAGATTTTTTTCTGGATTTCTGGCTTGTTGTACAGTCCAGCCCAGGGTAAGATGAAATGTTGATTACTCGGTCAGTCAGTGGTTACTGCAGGTAAGCTGTGCTTGTTGTTCATATAACGTCAAGTGAAAATATCGGTGCGTAGGCTAGTTCGAGGGAAACAGCTCTTATCTGCGGAAAGTTTTAAGTACGACTGCATTTTTAAGAAGTTTCCATTCGGTTCAGAATATGCTGTTTTATGTCAAAAGCACATCTCCGTTCATCTGGGACACTGAAGGACTGCTGAAGTTTGGCGATAGATAGGCGAATGGCACTGTTGACAGATAACCAATCTCTCTCAGATCTTCAGTCTTGAGAAGCGAGAAAAATACGGTGCAATCAAATTAACTTGTAAATTACTAATAGCGAGATTATAATGCACATCACAATGTACGAGATCTGAGTGTAGCGTGTTTGAAGTTTTACGTTTTTTAGGGAATAAAGTAACAGATTTAGAAGCAGCATCACTTCATAAACCAATTTTGTTACTAGCCAACATATGCTTAATCGATCACGGTACAATATAATATAATGTTTGTTAATGTTAATGAGTTTTGAGGCACTGTTATATTGATTTGATTTGCCTTCATGTCTACGTGACCATGTCCATTCAGCAGTGAGGTGAACGTGCTCAGCTCAGCGTGATAATGACACGCGCTGATGAGCATTAAAAGCATTCTGTGACACTCAATGTCCCAAGGGCCAGTTTGGGTAACAACTGATTTCTATTTGCCTTTTCTTTTCTTTTTTTGCGTCATTGTTTTTATGGATGGGCTAGTTTAACTGATCAGAACCCGACATTCTCAGTTATGCAATTTTAGCAAATATGTTGGATTGTGCAATAATATTCACTCCATCATACAAACAAATATAATGCTGAACTTAAAGCACATATGCTGATGATGTTTTTGCTGTAATTAATGTCGAAGTCATTGCAACTTAAGAAAGCAGTTCAGACTATGAAAGTCACTTGCACAATTTTACCCTCACCACAGACACTAGGCTATCTCGGTTGACTGGTTGCACACTTCCCGTTTCTATTATGATGATTTCCACGTCTTTTCATTCTGTCTGTAAAGCCTGCCTATGTATTCCTTCCTTTTTCTTTCATACACACACATACACACACACACACACACACACACACACACACACACACACACACACACACACACACACACACACACACACACACACACACGCATGCACCAAATTCCCTGCTACACCGGAAGTGCTCTGCTCATCTTAGTGCAAGGTAAGGAATGTTATAAGACAGACATAACTCAAAAGAAACCCTCATATATTACCTTTTGTAATACTGATCTCACAATATACTTTTAAACACTTTCAAACATGAGATCACAACACAAAAAGCTTCTAAAAACAATACAAATTTTAAAGCTTTTCAAATTTATGTAACTGCCCTAGTATTATATAGCACCTTTTCTCCCAGTATTTTATTATTTTATTTATTATACATAATATGTTAATTTGATATTTTAGTTGTTGTTATTCATTTTACATACTTTAAACTGTACCACAATGCCTTGTATTTGCCTCGTACATTTTTGCATTTTACTTGTCTGTAATTGTTTGTTTTCTTTAAGTAAGGGAGGTTAAATTTAAAATTTAAATGTATTTTTGTTAACTTTTTTAGAACTTGTAACATCATCCCAACCCTGTGTCTAGTCAGGATAGTGTTAAGTTATATTATGATAATGTACACTCACCTAAAGAATTATTAGGAACACCATACTAATACTGTGTTTGACCCCCTTTCGCCTTCAGAACTGCCTTAATTCTACGTGGCATTGATTCAACAAGGTGCTGAAAGCATTCTTTAGAAATGTTGGCCCATATTGATAGGATAGCATCTTGCAGTTGATGGAGATTTGTGGGATGCACATTGTAGGATTACAAATTTATTTAAATGTTTAATTTAGGTTCCATTACAATAGTAGGCTAAATAAACTGAGAAAGTTCTGTAGATTGAATTTAGCATTCAGATGTTGAGCACGAGATTCCTGTCCTGTTCTGTTTCTCTCTATACAGCCGCCAGACCTGTTTCTCTCTATTGTAAGTTAAATGAGTCAGATTACTGAGACTCCCACCTTTGTCTCTATGATAATTTAAAGTTTGAGCAATCTAGTCAGGCTGATTGGATTAGCATCTCAAGCCCCTGAATAACTGCTATGCTGATGAGATCAGGGCTGGGGGATTTCCGGTAACGAGCTGACTTCCGTACTACATTTGCATGTTTTGTTTCAGAGTGACTCCACCCCTATCTAATCCCGCCCTCTTATAATGTATATATACTACAATGTTTGACTCAAGACGTCAGACGAGATTGAGATGCTACAGCAACGCAATAAAGAACTTCTGCTTGAAAGATACCTCAACGTCTCCTGGTCTGCGCTTTTGACTTTTCTACACTTTAGAAGAAAATAGTTCACAACAACATCCAGGGCACGAAGCTCCCGTTCCACCACATCCCAAAGATGCTCTATTGGGTTGAGATCTGGTGACTGTGGGGGCCATTTTAGTACAGTGAACTCATTGTCATGTTCAAGAAACCAATTTGAAATGATTCGAGCTTTGTGACATGGTGCATTATCCTGCTGGAAGTAGCCATCAGAGGATGGGTACATGGTGGCCATAAAGGGATGGACATGGTCAGAAACAATGCTCAGGTAGGCCGTGGCATTTAAACGATGCCCAATTGGCACTAAGGGGCCTAAAGTGTACCAAGAAGACATCCCCCACACCATTACACCACCACCACCAGCCTGCACAGTGATGATGGATCCATGTTCTCATTCTGTTTACGCCAAATTCTGACTCTACCATCTGAATGTCTCAACAGAAATCGGCTTCACAAATGCTTTGCTGCATACCTCGGTTGTAACGAGTGGTTATTTCAGTCAAAGTTGCTCTTCTATCAGTTTGAATCAGTCGGCCCATTCTCCTCTGACCTCTAGCATCAACAAGGCATTTTCGCCCACAGGACTGCAAAATACTGGATGTTTTTCCCTTTTCACACCATACTTTGTAAACCCTAGAAATGGCTGTGCGTGAAAATCCCAGTAACTGAGCAGATTGTGAAATACTCAGACCGGCCCGTCTGGCACCAACAACCATGCCACGCTCAAAATAGCTTAAATCACCTTTCTTTCCCATTCTGACATTCAGTTTGGAGTTCAGGAGATTGTCTTGACCAGGACCACACCCCTAAATGCATTGAAGCAACTGCCATGAATGGTTGATTAGATAATTGCATTAATGAGAAATTGAACAGGTGTTCCTAATAATCCTTTAGGTGAGTGATGTTCTATGCATGTTATTAGACAGTGAGTATAACCTTAACATTATCTTTCCATCACATGTAATCTCTTCATACATTTGAGTTTAGTCCCCATTCAGATCATGAGGATCATGAGAAAATCACATTTTTATTATTTTTTGATGTAAAATAATTTTCTCTCATCCAAAAAAAGAAACGTATAGTGAAACTGTAAAAAAACATCCACAACTCAAGGTAAAACAATAAAATTATTTTAAAAAAACAAGATTCGAGTGTCAGTAATTTCAGTATAAATTATACCCTGTCATTGAAGAATTGATTTTATTTTTATTTATAGATATTACTTCTTATTTTTTTCAGTGCAATAGATGTCCAGTAGCATTGCTAGAAGATTTCTCTGGAAGCAAAGTTGTTTGAAGAAGTCTTAGGATAACCAGCCTGTTTTGTCTAATTTGACCGTGAAGCCACCATGTCACTCACAGATCATCACATCTTTGTAAGTAGAACACAAATCTTAGATTTATGCCTAAGAATAGCAGTAAAAGCCTAAATCAGTGGAGTCTGGCTTTCAAAGTGGTGAGCCAAAACATAAAACAGTTTGTCAGCACAGATATTTTTGGGAATGCACTATTTTGGTTTACAAGAACTTCTTATATTTCTGTTAAGTTTACACCAAGGATGCTGATGTCATGAAACGTCTCTGGTTGTCTAATGATCATACATAGGATTTTAGGATCTTTGTGCATATATAGATTGTTTCATGAGTAAGGAGCAAAATTGGACGTATTCTGTGGCATTAAATAAACAGAAACAGAGAAATCAAATGCTATCAGTCATACAAGTACATCAGCCTCCACATAAATTCTGGTGAATATATTGAGTTTAAAATAGATATTTGCATGCTGCTGGCTAACTGCCTCAAAATATGTACGTGTTGGTGTAAAAAAAGACATATTAATCACATCAACCTGACAGTGCTCGCATTAATCAGCACTTCCCTTTTTTTCCCTGTATTAAGACTACATTTCCAAAGTGAAAAAATATTTTTTTTGTATTTACGCTTAATGATGATTGTATTGAATGTTTTAAAATTAAGTGTTTATTTCTTAGGTTGAACAGCAAATTTCACACAAATTCCAAGTGAAAGTGTTGCGGGCTGAAAATGTCACCAAAGGAGCTCTCGGAGACCTGTGTGAGTATACTTTATATTTCATACTTTTAAAATGAAAAGTTTAGGTACTTTCAGAACAGTGATTGTATATTACACAGCATCATGCATTGCTTTCTTCAGTTACTAAACTTAAAGGATTGAGACCTGATTTGAGCACTTCAGAGAACGCTCCTAACACTAAACATGCTTGTAGTGGATACCCCTGACCCATATGTGGAGCTGTTCATCCCCACCGCCCCTGAGAGCAGGAAGAAAACACGACATATAGATAACGACATCAATCCAGAGTGGAATGAGACTTTTGAATTCATCCTCGACCCCAACCAAGACAACGTGCTAAAGGTAAGTAAAGAGCAGCTGAAAATTAACTTCCGCTTCTAATCTAAACTTAGTCAGCTCTTCTTGAACACCACAGTCTTAATAATAGTGTAATTTGTTATTCATTATATGCAGCGAAGGAGCAGAAATAAATATAAAATTGTAAATAAAAGATAATGAAATCTTCCACCATAAATCAATATCACAAAAAAAGTGTAAAAGTGCCCCCCCCCCCCCCCCCCCCCCCCTCCCAAAAACAAAACACAACAAAACAAAAACAAAAAATAGACCAAACAGAGTCAGAGGACACCAACCTCAAAATGTCTCTGCGTATTAAACTAGGATAGGAGAAGTGTTTTTTTAACACTGAATAAATTACACACTTCCTGATTCTTGCACTCACAATTCAGGTTACTTTAGTAAGGTCTTGCTATTTCCAACTACTTTCCAACTACCAATACTAAATGTAGTATGTTGAACCTTCCTTCGAATGTTTTATGCTGATCAGGCTTTTGGAACTCGTTGTTCTTACTTAGTAGTGTACGTACAGTACAGTCAGTCAATGATATGGTTTCTGTCTCTTGTTTCCAGCTGACATTAATGGATGCTAACTATGTTGTTGATGAAAAGTTGGGTACGGCCTCATATGACATCTCTAAACTCAAGGTTGGACAAACAGTGCTGGTGTCATTTCTTATAGGAAAAGTAAGTTATATCAATTTGAGGAGCACTTTCCCTTTAAGAGCACATGACACATGAGTTGCTTATATTTTCAAAGATTTCAAAAGGAAAACTGATCGAATGTACTTTTATATTGTACATTTTAATGCTGCGATGCCTGAATTTGCATACAATCATACTATTCATTTCTATACATTTATTTTTTAATGTTTACATTTTTTTATTATTAATTTTTTTAATTATATATATATATTTTTCATTTGTATAATGTCAACCATATTTCAGTTATTAACCATAACTTGAAACTAATCATTAGCTTATTATATCAGCAAGGATTTTGAAATCAGTGCATCCACTTTCTTTCTTTTCTTTTACTTGCGCCTAACTAGAAATTCAACATTAAAATCGACAGTTTGTAAACAATTCAATGGTGCATGTTACTCCAAAGAAAAAAAACTTTTGTCTTTGTAATCTTAAAACAAAATTTACTTTCTCTGAAACGACTTTCCTTTTCTGCTGATGTCAAATAAAATCGTTCTTTCTTTCCTCCGTGCCTTCTTCCTCCCTTGATCTGACCTGTGGTATTAATGTCTTTTCACAGATGACCAATGTGTACTTAGAGCTTTCCTTGGAGGAGTGGTACGTATCACAATGAACAAAACTGGCTTCTGTTGTGTATAGTAAGAACTTTTATAGTTGAACCGCCATAAATATGACTTACTTCTTAACTGTTCTCAGCTACACGATGGACCTGCGATTCAATCTGGATCTGTGCCCTAAAGAAAAGCTCTACAGACAACACCGGCGTGATAGAGTCATGCTGGGCATCAAGAAATTGCTGCACATGGAGAAACCTTCCTCCCTCCCTTCCTCTCCTCATGAGGTACCACGTATTAATCAACTGCTTTTGTAACCCCTCCGGTATTTCCGCAATAACAAGGACATTCTTGTGTCTATCGCTAGTGCGCCTCTTTAGGCCAGGGAAGTGAGGTTTACTCGCACAGCTGGCCTCGGTTACACTTTCTCCACTGGTCGTGCAGTTGCAGAAATACAGTATGTGTTTGATGCAGATGTCAGCTTACTGTCATGCAGATGGAGACACCTAATGAAGTACAGAAAGCCCAGACATACATGACATAGTGAGAAAAGAAAATAGACTGAGTAGAGCTGCTGACGCAGAACTCCCTCAAACAGCTCAGATTTCCACATAACTTTAGCAAAGTCATTATCTACCAGATAAGATATGTTGCCACATTAAGCAGACGTGACAAAATATTTCAATATTTAACCATTAAAACTCTTAATAAAAATGTTTTTGTGTTTCATTCTCTGTATTTCTTCATTATCAAGTTTGTTTTCTTTGGCGCATTTTTCTGACTTTGCTAGTTCCAGTTCAGTCTTGGCTCAGCATGTGAAAATGGACATAGTCCAAATATAAAGAGGAAGTGTTAGCTAAGACTTGTGAGAACTCACAGGACTGGTGTGTTACTTAGTGGATTTCATAAGCCTCAAAAAAAGAACCAGGCAGGAAATTACAAAAGTTGAACTGCTTTTCTGCACGTAAATCGATCTGGTTACAATGCTGTTAGAAATGCTAGCCTTATGGCTAAGGATCTGCAGCGCAAACTCAAAGATGCTGCGTTCACATCTTGGTAGCACAATTATGATTTTCTGAAAGCTTCAACTTCTCTCACTTTTAGCCAGGCAAAAACAATCAAAATTTATTTGGTGTCAACCTGTACACGTTTCGGTTTGGTGTCATTTATCAAAGCCAGTGTTACCTGGTGCGCTTTCCTTGTTCTGAAAAAGTTGAGATGTAACAGAAGTAGCAACAGATCTTCTCTTTTGCATTGTCATGTACATCTGAGTGAAATGGATTAGCAAAAAGAAAAATGTAGGGCGGATATTATTAATTATGTCCATCAGTTGTTCAGTGGATGGAAGCAGATCTGAATGCGAGTTTGCAATTGATTGTAAGAAAGGGAAGGGGTTTAAAGCGTTAGTTCACCCAAATTTTTTTTATTTCTGTCATTAATTACTCACCCTCTTGTCGTTCCATACCTGTAAGACCTTTGTTCATCTTTGGAACACAAATTGAGATATTTTTGATTACATCCGAGAAAGGTAGTAAACATATCGTTAAAATAGTCCATGTGACTATGGTGGGTCAAACTTTTTGTGCGCAAAAAAACACACAAAAATAACGACCTTGTTCATCAATTTCTTCTCTTCCATGTCAGTCTCTGACGCTGTTCACGTTGTAAACACAGAGCAGCGTTTTTCTACGTCAGAACGCCAGCTCAGTATTGGCCGGATCCTGCGTCAACATCACACGCATTCGCAAAAAGGTTGAACCACTGTGGTCACATGGACTGTTTTAACATTGTCTTTACTACCTTTCTGGGCCTTGGAAGTTGCAGTCTAAATGGGGGGTTAGAAAGCTCTCGGATTTCATTAAAAATATCTCAATTTGTGTTCCGAAGATGAACAAAGGTCTTACGGGTTTGGAACGAAATGAGGGTGAGTAATTAATGACAGAAATTTCATTTTTGGGTGAACTAACCCTTTAAGCTGACAAAATGATTGGAAAAGTACGGCGTACATCACCAGAGAGAAGTCTGGTCGCTTTCACCGACATACATGAAACATGCATGGATGAATCGTTCACAATCGGATTAATAGCATGTATTTAGAAAATATTCAATTTCATTTGGACGTTAAATGTTTTGCAAGAGCATGCTAAAAGTGAATTAAACTTCAAACTTTTAAATCAACTTTAAACTAGTTCTCATCTTGCATTTGCAATAACTCCACAATGACATAAACGCTGCACAAATTACTGAAATCCAAATTCGAGACAATCCCATTATTCTTTACACTTTGGAGTAATTGTACAGTAAATCTTTTTGGCTGAAAAAACTATGAAAAGGTAAAATGCTAGCTTATTGCTAGTATTTCACTAGCATACTGCTGTGCTGCTAATATTAGTTTTTTCTTGCATGCAGGTTCCAGTGATTGCTGTGCTGGGCTCAGGGGGAGGTTTCAGAGCAATGGTCGGGTTCTCTGGGGTTATGAAGGCTTTGTATGAGTCTGGAGTTCTGGACTGCGTCACATATGTTGCTGGACTCTCTGGATCCACCTGGTATGAGGACATGCTCATCTTTTAATTCCTTCTCAAATAAATCCCAGTGCAAACCTACATTTGCTTTTCTGTCTCTCACAGGTACATGTCCACTTTGTACTCCCACCCAGAGTTCCCCACTAAGGGCCCAGAGCAGATCAACCAGGAGCTGATGAGCCGTGTGAACAGTAACCCTCTCCGACTACTCCTACCCAAACACATCACTAAATACGTACATGCCTTGTGGAGCAAGAAGGCCTCTGGGCAGCCTGTTACCTTCACAGATATCTTCGGGATGTTGATAGGCGAGACGCTCATTCCCGCTGTGAGTATCTGATCTTTTGGAGAGAGTTTCCTTTGCCTTTACTTATTCAGAAACATACAACGCATAACTGGCAATACAAAGGCTTCTCTTTCTGCTCTCTCAACAGAGGATGGACACCAAGTTGAGTGAATTGCAGGAAAAGATAAATGAAGCTCAAGCTCCTCTGCCCTTGTTCAGTTGCCTGCATGTAAAACCAGATGTCTCTGAGCTCAAGTTTGCAGGTAAAAGGGCAATTTATTTATTTTTATAAATGAGACTTTCTTATTGCAAAATGTTTCATTATAAACCATATTATCAGTATAACAAATTTCTACAGTTTCTATGATTACAATATCAAGGATAGGTGTTTTTTTCTCACAACTAATTGTGTAAGGTAACTATACCTTGGAAATACATAAAAGATCATTATCAGCTACATTGTTGTTAGAGTTTTCACTGAATGAATGAAGGGGGATCCCATTTATAGTAGTCTGACCTTTTGAATTGCCTGGGGAGAACTCGATTACGTCAGAAGATTAGTTCAAGAATGTGAATAACCATGTAGAATGTCTTTTTTTAGTATACTTGTATTGTTTTTCTAAAGCCCTAAAAAAAACTGAAGTGCCACACGTTTTAGTTGTTTAAAGATCTGTCTGTAATTGAATATAGGCCACTCTTAATTCTGTTCACTCACCAACATGACTGAGCAGGTCATGCCTCGTGAGCTGGTGGCTGCTCTTTCTGGTTTGAGACTGAAAAAATGTACTATAACTATAACTATCTTACGTAAGAAAGTAAATAAAGTTCTCTAAATTCAGTCAAGTTTTTGTTATAAATATGCATCAGTACGGTTTGTAAAGTCTAACTGCGGCTGAATGAAAGTAACTATTTAGACACAGAGGCACTCAAGGGAATCACCCTCACGTCACGTTTCATTGAGTTTCCAAAATAGTCCTATGCAACAGAAAGACTTCCGAACCACTCCTACCTCTACAATAGACTAAAACTGTGGTGACTGTCAATACCTCAGACTTTGATTAATCCTTTTTTGTCTAAAAAAGCGTCAGTCGATTTTCTGCAGGCCTTGTCACACAAAGTAGCTTTTGTGTTGTAAGCATTTTGTTTAGTTGATTCATGCATCTGCCTTCGTCAAGTGACACGCGTTATCAACACTGCCAGGGAACTGAAATCTGAAACATTGCTTTCGCAAATTCCCAGAAACTATTTGAAACATGCTCTTTGTCATTGTGTTTATTTTGAAACTAGTTTTGGTCTGTTGTCCAAAATTATAATTCGACATCCTATTCTTACTGTGCTTGTTACTGTTTATTTGTTGTTATGGGCATGTTTCGCAGACTTCTGTTGATTGTGAATACATTTCTATTGAGGTTATGGTTGTGTTTTGATTGGCGTGTTTTAATTGACAGACTGGGTGGAGTTCAGTCCGTATGAGATCGGAATGGCTAAATATGGAACCTTCATGACCCCTGACCTTTTTGGAAGCAAGTTCTTCAGAGGAAATGTGATCAAGAAGCACAAAGAGAACCCTCTTCACTTCCTTATGGGTATGGGCTCTTTTTCTGAATTCCTCTAGTAAGCAGAGAACCATGATAAAACCATGTGTTTTTATGGAAATAGTGTCACCAGATAGTTGGAATCTTCACTGTCAGAGTCAAATGTCACCTGATTTAAGGGTGTTGGTTCAGTCATTTGCAATGATCCCATCCTTGCTGTATTGTAATGCGAGACAAGTTAGTGTTGTAATTCAGTGGCGCAAACTCAAAATTTACATAGTCGCTGTGACCGTAAAGAAACATTCTTCGAAGGGTGTATCGCAAGAGTTTCACTGGAGATTTACTCTTTATTTTTAAAACGGTGACGTGAAGATCAGCAAAAGTATTAATCTACTGTTTCAGGCTTCACATCGTCTATAGAACGGTATTTTTTTTAATTTCTTACATTTTACAATTTTGCTTCCTTGCAAAATAAAGACAAAGATTAAACAAATGATTAAATGTCTGGATTATATTTCATCCTAATATTAATAAGAAATTATGATAAGAAGAATATGAAGCCTCTTTTTAGGACCATTAGGTCCATTTTTTTTATAATCATTGGTTGTACTGAATTTATAAATAATTTTTAATACTTTTGGTTTTGAGGTAAAACATGATCAAATATACAGCATTAAAGCCCCGTTTACACCTGGTTTTAAGATGCGCTTTGGTCGATCGAATCACAAGTAGACGAGGGAGACACATTCCTGTTTACACCTGATTCCTTCGATGGGAGGGTCTATGGGCGGGTAAATGTATGTTTTTTTTTTTAGATATACATTTTTTCCAAAATAAGCTCACGCTATTTACACATGAATGAGGCAAAAAAAAACATACGCCGAGGAGCGGCTTTCGTTTTTGCTCTGAAAGCCGCAAGACCACACCGAATGCTGTGAGTTTGTGTTAGAAATCAGGAATGGTGAGAGAACATTGTGCTTGGTACGTTTTTCGTCTTCATATCAAATTGGGTCTTCAACCAACAAAGTTTAAATCCCATCTTCCCATAATGTTTACGCATTAGGTCATTAGGCATAGATTAGGCGGTCTTCTGTGGCTGTTTGAACACATTCGACCACATGAGCGTTTACACCACGAAAGCAATCCGGTCGAATGTATTTTTGACTACCTCTGGAAGTGGTCAAAAGTGGACAAGCTAAAAACATTTTAGACCCCATTTACACCTGTATTTAGCATCGTCCACTTGTAGATGGGATACAGTGTGTTTGTATATGTTGCACAGGTGTGTGGGGCAGTGCCTTCTCCATCCTGTTCAACAGAATTCTGGGATTGAATGATGCGACGAAAGGCAGCACCATGGAGGAAGAACTAGGTACGATCACCAGCTGTATTAAAGATCCAAGACCAGTTTGCTCTTCTACTCTTTTTAGCTACATGTGCATAATCATCTTTTTGCCACAGAAATTTCCATAGATTTATGTAGAATTTGAATGTCCTTCTCAAGTTTTATAAATTCTTTGTCCCATGTGTGTTATATCTATATGTATTAATAATATTCATGTTGTGTCAAAATAGCGATAGAGGAAGAAAATTTTGCAGAATGATGGTGCCTTTAGTGTTTGCATGTCTGATGGTAGGATGGTAGATTCATAAAACTGTGATGGTTATCAGACAGCTACACCAAAGTGTGATTACAGTTGTGCAGATGCAAACATCCTGGCACACACACACTCTGTATTCTAAGATGACCTGAGAGATTGTGATGATCTCAGTCAGACATCAGTTGGAGGTGGTTTGCACTGTGGCTTTGACGCTTGTTTTTACTTTTATTCTACAGAACAGATCAAACCGGAACACATTGTGGGAGAGGACAGTCTAGATAATGATGAAGACTCAAATAAAGGTGAGATTTTAGACCATGTAAATTACACAGTAAGTATCTTAGGGGTTTTCAAACATTTTGATGCCACGGATTCCAAATGTCCCTGCGGTGGACCTCCTTCTCAAAATATAAAGGCAGCTATGTATTTGCATGTATAAAGGCCAAATTTGTTCTGAGGAAAAATAAAGAATATAATTATGTGCAAAATATTATCTGGAAAATATAATTAATGTATACCATTGTGGCCTTTTTTTTTTTTTTAGAGAAAACCCTGATTAAAACGGCAACCTTTTGTTTAACAGCAAAGGCATTTAGGTTTTAGAAAAAACTTAATTTTTACTCAATGAGTTCAATTCTTATTAGAATATCAATGCAAATGCATGAATATAATGGAAAATGGATTTTGTTTTTTGTCTTACACGTACAGAGGACGAGTATCAGGCCAGCTGGATGCAGCGCATGGTTAGCTCTCTCTTCAGTGACTCAGTTCTTTTTAATACACGAGAAGGCAGAGCAGGAAAAGTACACAACTTCATGCTGGGCTTAAACCTAAACAATGACGTGCCATTTTCGTCTTTCACTGAGTCCGTCAGTCCCACAGAGGATGAAACTGATGCGGTCACAGGTCAGAGTTCATGTTTGTTATGGTCATTTAAGTTTACTGAATTAAAGGGTTAGTTTAACCAAAAAGGAAAATTCTGTCATTAATTACTCACCCTCATGACGTTCCAAACACGTAAGACTTCCGTTCATCTTCGGAACACATGAAGATGTTTTTAATGAAATTTGAGAGCTTTCTGTCCCACCAATGACAGCCTACGCAACTACCACTTTCAAGATTTCATCAAAAAGATCTTCATTTGTGTTCCGAAGATGAACAAAAGTCTTAGGGGTTTAGAACGACACGAGGGTGAGTAAATAATGACAGAATTTAAATTTTTTGGTGAACTAACCCTTTAACCTGAAGTGTTGCCTTATTGTTCTTTTCTGATTTTGGATATTTCAGACCCATGCGAGTTTGACCGTATCTACGAGCCATTAGACGTAAAGAGCAAGAAGATCCATGTGGTGGACAGTGGCTTGACCTTTAACCTCCCTTATCCTCTGATTCTAAGGCCTCAGAGAGGTGTTGACCTCATCATCTCCTTTGACTTTTCTGCCCGACCGAGTGACTCAAGTCCTCCATTTAAGGTTAGTACTAGGGCTGTCAGTTTAACACTTTTATTGAGACTGATAAATTATAAAAACAAAGCAGGGAACCATGTCACAGTATTGATAAATGTGATTTATTTTATTGATTAATTAATCAGCATATCATGTAAAATCACGATCATATGTGCACAGACAAGATGTATGACATGTAGGTTTTGTAAATGATTGGTCCTTTGTAGGAACTTCAGCTAGCTGAGAAATGGGCACGAATGAACAAACTTCCGTTCCCCAAGATCGACCCAAAGGTGTTTGACCGGGAGGGGCTGAAGGAATGTTATGTGTTTAAGCCCAAAAAAGGAGAAAGGAACTGCCCAACTGTCATCCATTTCGTCCTGGTCAATATTGAATTCAGGACATTTAAAGCCCCAGGTGTGTGTTAATTTGTTTGTGCAAGCGTCTGTTTACATAAAAAAAAAAAAATGTATGAAATGTCAAGTCCAGATTTACAGTCAAGACCAGGGATCTCCTTTCTAAAAAAAACGGAGATCTTTCCAGTTGCGTCTTTATCTGTTTACACTGTCCTGTGATTCGCACATTTGTTTGTGTAGGAAGGTCTGTGTTTGACGCTTTTATGAGCTGGCTGATTTACATTCCATTTTATGTAATGCATGAAGTGGGTGTGTTTCTATATGTATGTATTCAATCTGTTTATATGCTTTGGAAGACATAGATTATGTTTTTTTAACATTGAAAATCATAATGATCAACAGACTGGGGACTTGGTCATTTCAGATCACTCAAACTAGTTTAAAAAAAAGAAAAAGAAAAAAGATGTTTTAATCAAAAATCAAGATGTTTTAAACAAAAGTGTGGTTTATTTTGAAGGTGTTCCACGTGAAACAGACAAAGAGAGAGAATTTGCAGACTTTGACATCTTCGATGACCCAGAGACGCCCTATTCCACATTCAACTTCCAGTATTCCAATCAAGCTTTCACTCAGCTGCATGATCTTATGGAATTTAACACGCTTAACAACATAGAGGTCAGCCCAGCTCAGATTCATGCTTATTTATATTCTTGTGCAGGCTTGTTTGAATCAGGTTCTGAACGTCACTGTTTCTTTTGCTTCATGTTTAGGCTTATTTATGCAAGTCACGTTTTAAATAATCTTTCATACTTTATCTAGGTCATCAAAGAAGGCATAAAGGACAGTATCTTGTATAGGAAGGAGATTCCATCTCGCTGCTCTGTCTCTCTTTCTCTCAGTGAAATACAAAACAAAAAACTCCTGAAGAGGGAGTCCAAAGGACAAGCATACCAATAAGGAGGCGGTCTATCATGGCATTCTCGCCACAGGAAGTTTACAGATGTCACACATCTCATCATGGAAACTTTTTTTTTAAACTGAAAAATAACTTAACAGACTGTGAAACTAGATGGTCTGGTTTGGTGCCCAGAACATGTTTTCAAGTAGCCTTTTAAAGGAGGAGGGAGAACTTGTGACTGACACCATGAAAACAGCATTTACAATGTAATTGTTGTCATTAAGTTGTGCGGATGTAGCAATTCCAGAAAGTGTGGTGTGAAGTGCCAGAGTAAATGTAAACAAATCAACTATTTCTTCCATGATACTTAGTTTAAAGTGCTTAGAGGTTTACTTCTTGAAGACTTAAAAAGGTGTTTCCCCCCAAAAGAAACTTCCATCATCATTTACTCACCCTCATGTCATGAAGTTCTAAACAGTTTATCATCTTCTGCAGAATATAAAAGACATTTTGAAGACAGTTGGGGTCCAAACAGCATTTAACTTTCATCGTATATAGACAAAGAAGAAATTCATACATGTTTGGAAAGACATAAGTAAATGATGACAGATTTCTCATTTTTGGTTGAACTATCCCTTTATTGCAAAATTGTCTTCTGATTATAATAAGTGAATCAATCCCAAGAATGTGACTGAAAGCACCTTTGGGCATTTGGCGTGTTTGTGTATGGTTTAATGGCAACTGCTAAAACAAGATCCTGATTTATCTTTATGAACTAAGGGAGTGCCTCAAAAAATAATAAAATATCCTGAGGTACAAAACAAAACATGAAACCATGGAAATCCCACAATCTTGTGCGAGTCTGTTAAACAGGTGTTTTTTAACCCTGTCTTGTTTAATTTTAAGTTTCCCTTTAAATGCAGAGATAGTTTTTATTTCTAGCTGAGTCATTTCCTTTTACCCTTAACCACTATTGTCTGTTAGTAAATGAGTGAAAGAGAAAGGAGGTGTTAGTTAATCCTCAAACCGACAAATCAATTTCAGGAGGATGATGTAATAAATTATTTTTACACAGCACAACCATGCAGACAATCCCAGTAGGTCATGCAGGTAGCATAAAAAACACTGACTATAATATTTGCTCCACTATACCTGCTACATCAGTGAATGAGGACTGGCTGTTTTAGATGACTGAATGTAAAGTGTCGCTCTGATGTCTTACTATAGAGCATTTTTTAACATTTGTTAACATTATACCCTAATGGATGCTCATGTGTATTAGCTTATTAGATTTATTGAACAGGTTATTGGTAGTTTGTACGTGTAGACTCACACTGACTAAGTATTAATTCACTATTTATTCATATAACCATTAATACTTATGTTAAAAAGAGTTGTATGTTTTACTACAAAGAATTTGTATGCATTGTTTACACTTAATAAAACAGCTTATGATGGTGTGTAAATGGTGTGTGTACTTTAAATGTGTGAACAATGAGTTATTGTCCTTATAATGCATTTCAATGCCATATCATATTAGTCGAAACTGATGTTTTGAGACCTTTGCAAAAGCTAGGGGCATTTCTGACCTACATTTATAAGAGGATCTGTTTTCAGCTGAACGGTCTTTTACCCTCTTATATATTAGAAAAAACATCTGAATACTTTAGCAGATGCACATATGTTCTCACAACTTATATCATCTTTCATTATCATATAAAAATCCTACTGATAAGTTTCAAAACATGTACCATAATATTTATGTACAAATACACAAAATATGTATCATAAATATAAATGGCTTTTGTAAGTACAACTAAAAATGTTACTTTAAAGTAGAATATAACAAGCAATGTTACTTTAACTTAAAGTAGAATATAACAAGCAATGTTATTTTAACTAATCCAACGTTTATACCCTTTACAGACATAAACGCGTAGATAAAATGAAGGTTGTTTATTTGGACCTGGTGATGCTTTGTGGTTTCTCTTAATGAGGAACGTCATAAGGAATGCCTTTATGTATGTGACTGGAGGCGAACTGTAATGCAAAGTATGAACCTCTCATTTTAAACATCCGCTGCCAAACGGTTATTGCATCACAAACACATCACGCCTTACGTTGTTCTGAATATAATAGGTTTCTAAAAAAAGACACAACAGTAGGCTAAATTCCTAATGGGTATTGAATGTCTTTCAACTCGTTTTAAAGATAATAAGTCAGACAATACGGATGAGTGAATCTTCAAAAGCTTTGTTTTTTAACCAATTGTGGGCTGTCAAACAGTGTATCTGATAATGGCCAGGGTTAAGTATCGTTTCACACTAGTAGAAATGGGAACGCACTTTTAAATTATTATTATTATTTCTTTTACCTTGTGTCAAATACAGTATTAATATGAATTGTAATGCCACAATGTTGCACAAACTGCCTCAGCTTACCTCAATAAATATCCAACCACTGTCTATGGTTGCAGAAACTTTCGCTCTGTTTAGGCTATTCATCTCAGGGAAACAGTAAAAAATGTTCAATGTTGAGTTAACTGGAGTGATGAAGAGAGAATTCCCAGCAGTTATCAAAACAGGTCGGCCTAACTTACCATTCGAAGCGTATTCATTCAATTAATATCATTGAGCTAACTGATATGCAAATAAGAAGGTTAACCCAGGCCCCAGGGTTTACATTTACAGTGTGAAATCTCGAAACCTGTAGGATTAATTACTTACCGAGCAACAGTGTGAAACAATAAGATTAGATTAAATGAATACGTTTACCCGCCGTTTAGAATAGGTTAACATTTTGAAGTGTGAAAAGATTTAAAGAGAGCGAAAGTGTTCTGGCGCCATCTACCGTTACCTGACCACCACTGCATATTAATATAATAAATGTTGCTATTATTAAATAGACATAATTAATTTAATTTAATTTAAATCATATTTTAACATTACATTTTAATATTATTATTTTAATTTACAGACAGGAGCAGAAATTGAAATTATAAGCTGGAGGCAATAAGGAGCAGGAAATTATTTCAAGTCGTCTTGCAGACCCATTAGAAATTTGCTGAGGTGCCCTAGTGTTTTTTTTTTCTTTTTTAGGAACTTCACTGGACTATTTAGGAACCTTCGCTGTACCCGATAGAGGGCGCGCTATGCGGAAGTGATGGAATCCATCACTGACTACAGGGCTGCAGGATCCGCCAGGCTCGTTTACCATAGAGAACTGTTACATTGTGTCCGTGCACAACATAGGTGCAAAAGCGTTTAGCTTAACATCAGACGGGGAATAAGTTGCGCTCATCATGTCAAAGAATACAGTGTCCGATCGTTTCCGGAAAGTGGATGTGGATGAATACGACGAGAACAAGTTTGTAGACGAGGAAGAGGGGGGAGAAAACCAGCTGGGTCCAGATGAGGCAGAGGTGGATTCTCTCATCAGACAATATCCTTCTTTATTCACCAACGTGTGCATGATCCGATAAAGTCTTGCATTTTCAGAGCCTCCAGCTTATAAAAAAATCTCCGTGTGTGCTTGAGTGGGTAATTATGACATCAGTAATGGGCGTAATACGGCTAATTAAATATTTTGCTCCAGAAAGTGTGGATAAATAAATAATTAAAAGCATAAAGTGCTTATTAGCAGTAGAAGCAAGCGATTTAATTATTTTGTTTTCATTCAGCACGTTATCATGTCATGGCATGGCATGCACTGATTGTTCATAATTCATGAGTTGCCTGATAGACCAGCTGGCCTAGAGATTTCTGTACATCACAGACTCGACAAACACAGAACTGGGTTGTGTCCATTATTCTACTCATTTACTTTTATTTACTAGACGAACACCCATCCAGTGGATGCAACAATGATAGCGTGGTCTATATAGTATGTCCGTCTTTTACAGTTTACAAAGTGAGGGTCGTCACAAATGTCCTATAGTGCTGCATCATGAACGGGCAGTTGTTCACATTTAGATCTCTGAAATGTCCAGACATGTCTTGACATTCCAGACATTGTTTTAATAAAAGTGTTTCTGCAAAAAGATGCGGATCTATTAACTACAACATATTATTTTCCAGGCTGTGTGGGGTTATAAAAACGTTTCTGTAATTTGAAACGTGCATTATTTTAGTACAAGGAAGTTGAATTCATGTCCTTATATGTCCATTTTGGAGTACCCAGGGCTTTATTTCCTGTTTCTAATGTTTTTTTTTAGCCCCTGTGGTTGTCTTGTGATACCTCAAGTGCAGCCTGTCCACAGCATGCATAGATGTTGAAATTGTGTTATTATACAGTATACGGTGTTTTTCTTAACTGCACTCTGCAGAGGGAACCTCATGGGTGCCCTGCAGGCAGTGTTAAAAAATCCACCAATCAACACAAAGAATCAGAACGTCAAGGTGAGCCATGGCACTTTTTTTTCCTAAAAGGAAAAAGTATTTTCCTCTGATCAGCTATAGAAAATCATAGCATTTTTGTTCAATTCAACAGAATTTAAAATTGTATAGAAAATGTTGCATTACCGGTATTTGTGTTTGTTCTAGAGCTGCTGTAAAGCCCAAACAATCTCTGTTACTTTAATTTCTATTATCACTGTAAATCTGCTTTGAAACAATCTATATTGTTAAAATCGCTATATAAATGACTTGACATTTTGCTTATTGCCATTAATATGAAACAACACCTGTGAACATGCAGCTAACTTCTCTATTAATGCATCATACTTGTGAAGTGATAGGAACCAGATTTTATCTGACCTTTTGTAGGATCGTGCTGAAGGTCTGGTGCTGAAGGTGCTCAGCTCCTTCAAGAGTACTGACATAGAGAAGGGAGTTCAGTCTCTGGATAAGAATGGAGTGGACCTGCTCATGAAATACATCTACAAGGGCTTTGAGCGGCCGTCCGAGAACAGCAGCGCTGTCCTGCTGCAGTGGCATGAAAAGGTAGGGTTAATAGTAAACGTAGTAATGTTTTAATAGCAAAGCGGGTGTGTTGTGCTCTTAAAAGAGGCCAGTAGCTCAATTCTCAATTCTCCTCAGGCTCTCTCTGCAGGTGGAGTGGGCTCTATCGTGAGGGTCCTAACAGCCAGGAAAACTGTGTAAACTGCAAGACGATTAGCACAGCGCACAGAAAACAACAACAACCTGCCGAGACACTCAGAACAAAGCGATGACTTTCCACAGGGTACCGAAGAGGACCTCTCATCAAATTTCAATGCGTTTTCACCCTCTTCTGTTATATCACTCTTCACTCACATAGTCAAGAAATGCATTACTGTGCCATCAGTAGTATGTTAGACTTACCGTAGCTTCTCTCAGGAATACTTTTCTATGCTCTTCTGTATTGTATTCAGCAATTCTGAATACAAGGAACTTAAGTTTATTATTAATTTACACCATGTAACCTCTGTTCATTTCAAGCCATTCACACACATGCAGACTAAAATAACAGTCACAGATTGGTCGGTGTGTCTTACTGGCACTACGTCTGTCCACATTGACCGTGTCGGATTATGAATAATACTCTCTGGTGCATTAAACCTTCCCGTCACTGATCCCTTCTCGTTTGTTCTAAATCGGCAGACGTTATCCCATAGAATTGAATTTGTCATAAGCAAAGCGCATTTGCTCTTATACTCGTATAAGACAAAGTTAGATTGCTGATCTTATGCATCATCTGAAACAGCTGCTTTATTTTCTTAGCAGATGTAGTCATCTCACTAATCCGTGACTTTCACTAATGCTGTTATAAATGTCTTGTCTCAATGTACCTGTTTCAGCGTTCCAAAGCACTTATTGACATGGACCATTGTTATTGTATGTGTCAGAATGCATATGTCTGTATCCATTGTATGTCTGGATATGTTTTTAAGCCAACTGTTGAATACTGCCTCAAAGCAGATCATTACTGATCCAGTCTGATCTGAGACATATCGTCTGATCAGGGACCTGCCTCTACAAACGACAGTGCAGACACTCAATAAACCAAACCGGTATAATGACTGCCTTACAAAATATTCCTTTTTTATGTTTGTGCTTTTGTGATTGAATAATAAATTGTTAAATATACATCTGATGACCTGACTTGTATATTTTTTATTTATATGTTGGAATATTGAAAGCTCTATTGACAGCATGAATGTGTCAACTTTGTTTAAAAAAAAATCTTTTTCAAGATTATTTTTCCTAAAAATTGATATTGTCGGTGAAATAGCGTTTAACCCTGAATATTCTTTCCAATGTACACTACAATTCAAAAGTTTGGGTAGTAGTAGTTATATTTTATGTTTGTACCAAGGCTGCATTTATTTATTAAAAATACAGTAATACTGTGAAATATTATAAACTTTTATTTGAATATATTTTAAAATGTAATTCCTGTGATGTAAAGCTGAGTTTTCAGCAGCCATTCCTCCAGTCTTCAGCACCACACGATCTTCAGAAATCATTCTAACATGTTGATCTGATGCTGAAGAAACATTTATCATTATCAATGTTGAAAACAGTTGTGCTGCTTAATTTTTTTTTATGGAAACCATTTTCCAGAATTCTTTGATGAATAGAAAGTTCAAAAGAATGGCATTTATTTGAAATAAAAGTACAAGAAAAGGGCTCCGAGCTCGAAATTTACCCCCCTCCCCATCCCATCCCTGGCTGGGATAGGAATAATCGAGTGAGAAGTTTTGAACTTTTGAAGCTCAAAAATGAATGTATCAACAACAACAAAAATAGATTGTACATTTTATTGCTTTTTAAAAAAAGGGAATACAACATAGTATTACAAATAAAAAACCCAAATACTTATATACATATCATGACAATAGAATACACCTTGATTACTGACAAAGTTACAAAAAAATAACTATAAACCTGTAATGATAATGAGAAATTGCTATTATGTGCATAATTACTGGTTGACAATACTCAATTCTTGAGTAAAGGTAGTGCTTACCTGAGGTGGACTTCCTTTTCATTTTTATTGCAGATGCGGCTCAAACTCAAACCTCATCATCATGTTAACAAACACAAATTTAAACCGATAAAATCTTCCCCATCTCATTTCATAGAAAGCAATGGAGGGAATTGAGTTTCTTTCATATATTCAAGCAATTCCCAATAATTTAATAGGTAGACATATATGCAAAAGTATTCTATAACACCACCCATAGTCTTGCTGTACATTCTGATGAAGGATTCTTGCAGCCAGCGGAGTGGCTGAACCGTTAACCCGCCTGCGGTCTTAAAACTGGTTTCAAGTCTCTCCAATGAACTCCAGAGAGCAACGTCATCTGTCTGCAGGACTCTACAAAAGCGCTCTTCCAGCCTACTAGGCCTTACACGTCAACATGACCTGTGAGAATCTCTTCAAGTGGCGGATCTGCACTCACACAAACACACTCTCATGCAAAGATGTACAGGTCGCAGTCATGCTTGTACAAAAACGGCACCATTCTCAGAGGTTGCGCTATAAAAGATTTCATCCATATGGACTGGGTTGTACATTTTCTATCATGCTCTGTTTTTATCTATCAGTAAATTACTGATATGTCTGATTTTTCTTTTGTTGAAACGCCACTAATATTACAAGAACCATGAGCTCTTTGAGTCTTTTTTTGGCCTTTTCTTACACATACTTTGGTCTCACAAACTCGTCACTTGATTTAATGATGAATATCTCAAATTATTCCACTGGCATACACTTGCAATCTCTTGTTTCTCTCCCAAAATCCTCTCTCATGTCTCTGTCCTGGTTTATTTTCACAGGGGTGCTTCAAAACGTAATTTTCTTCCCTTTTCTCATCCCATTAAGAAACCCTTAATTTGGGAATATTTCTAACGTAGGGACATTTAGGAGACCAGATTCCTTATTTTTTATCTGTCAAAAATTCATGAAATGACAGATTTTTGTTTTAGCGCAACCTCTGATCATTCCCTCTCTTCGTAGGCTGTGGGATGTAGTAAAGTGCTCAGTACGGATAGGCTGAGACAGCGATGTAGACAATGAAGGTGGTCTGGTACTCTATTCCTCCGTCGGCACTGTAAGACAGGGCTCGTACCTTCATGCGGTACGTGTGAGGTTCGCGCAGAGGCCGGGTGGTGAACAGAACACCTTTGAGGTTTTCGTCCCGGAGGGCGAAGGGCAGAGTTGTGTCCTCGTCGACCACTAAGAAGGAAGTGCGGGGGTGGACGACTCCATCCTGGGTGTAGGCAACCAGCCGGATCAGGTCCTGATTGGCGGCGATGCCGAAGGGCAGGGACAGCAGTTTGTACTCCAGTGCATACGGGCTCAGGGCACACTCCAGATCATTGGGTGGACAATTCTTCAGGCAGAACCTGAGAGGAGAAGCAGAACTCACTTTATTTAGAATGATCAACTAAGTAAAACCTGACAATTGCAAAGAAAAGAGTGGCAGTCTCACCCTGTGGTTGGATCCCTCTGATAGTTGGGAGGGCAAGGTGTGTCGATGCATTGGTAACTCCCTCTCATGTTGAAACACATCCTGTTTGCACCACACTGAATGTTCTGCTCCAGGCATTCATCTATGTCTGTCCATATAAATACCAAAAATGAGCAATACAAAATATACTTATATTTAGTATATTTAGACTTTTCTTTAGATTTTGTTAGGTTGCTCTCTAGAGAAGTTAGCACATATATTATACGTTTTTTATTGAACGTCTTCATATTCTTACCTTGGCAGGTTTTGCCATTGTTCATAAGGCGATAGCCGTTGGGACACAAACACCTATGGCTGCCTGGTGTGTTCATACACTCATGTTGACATGTATCCCTCTGTTCACATTCATTAATATCTACAAACACAAGATGGGTAATTATTAATGGGCAATTTTCTGGAAATCATGCAATGCAAGTGTCTCCATATATATATATATATATCTTTTAAAATGTGTGACTTAAAAACCACATTAAAACTGAGAAATACTCAGTTTAGAAATCTAAATCTTGCACACACTGCATACACACTGCATACTTTTTAATACATTCGCTTATCAGTTACTGTAATAGTAGCAGTTTACAATACTCTAACCGTTTAAAGATCAAGAATACAGTATAACGTGTCATATCATACATATACATACATGTAGCATTTGACATGAAACCCAAACTCCACTACAGATCAACAGTTACTCTTGTAGTTACCTAAACACTGGCCATTTTTTGCCTTAAAACCAGGAGGGCAGGTATTAGTATCCCTACGACTGCGTGATGGGGCATTGTTCGGTCTGTTGGCCACGTGACCCCCCCCGATGGGGACATATGAGTGGTAACTCTGGGAAGTCAGGCTATGGTAGCGCTGCTGGTAGGAGCTCCGATCAGAGGAGGACTGTGATGTTCTGTACCCATATGAGAAACTTTCATAGTTGGGCAAGCGCTCGAGTCCGGCACAGGACTTGCCATCACCCAGCAGGTGGAGCCCCGGTGGGCACAGGCACTTGTAGCTGCCAGGGCTGTTCACGCACTGATAGGCACAGGGCACTGGTACCACCTCGCACTCGTTTATGTCTGCTCTCACAACAAGGCCAACACAGAGATAGAGAAAAAAAAAAAAAAAAAAAAAAAAAAAAAAAAGGGAAATAGAGTTAAAATTAAAATGGGGAGATCAAAAGAAAATAAAAAGAAGGGGATGAGAAAAAATACTGGACATGAGTAGATATCCCTCAAAAGCATGTTTCTCATGCAAAAAATATTATTGTGTTTTTGTTGTAAAATATTGAGTCTATTTAGTGATTCCTCGTTATTTATTTTAAAACCCCATGTTTTTGAAAATCAAGTTTTTAATGTTGTTTATATGTCTGTGTGGTGTTATAAATTTGCACATGGCTTGTCTTAAAGCATATTAAAAAGTCAACACCATTGCTGAGTATTTTCTCCTAAAAATCGCAGCAAAAAAAAAAAAAGACAATAGGCCTATAGTGGGTGAATTATGTATATAATGTAAATTACGATGTTATGTTGAACTATATGCCTTTCTCCAATGGCGTTCTAAGTTGTTCAAAGTGTTTGTAAGGATGCTGATTTTTAGAAGGCAGCTGTCTGACTGAGATGGCGAACGAGAACATGGTTTGTGTAACATTAGCTGTTTGATAACGTAGTCAAGCCAAAGGATTATGTGTCTGACATTGTAGAGAGTGACAGGCCTACATAAAACACATCACCATTCTGATACATCAACTTGTAGACGAGCATGTATGACTGAGTGGAGGCGGGGTTCATTAGCATATTCATGAATCCACGTG